GTTAACTTTTTTTTTTTTTTTTTTTTAACTTTAATTTTTTGTTAAAGTATAAGTTAAGCTAAAAGGTTTAAAAAACTGAAATCCGGCTTTCCCATAGTTTTTCCTGAGGACTTGCATGGGATGGTATTTCTTTATTGAAACTCTGGGACTTCTTGTTTGAGACAGAGAGTAGTGTGCCTTCCTATGAGATATGGTCTCTTAAGAACTACAAGTCCTTAGTTCATGATGGCATTTTCTGTGCATTTGCAGAAGTCAACAGGGCAGCCAGCTGGCTGTAGGAGAGGGAACAAGCATAAGCAAGCAGAGACATTGATCCCAGTAAGACTGGGAACAAGTAGTGAGGGGGTGAAGCAGATGATGACTTTTTTAATTTTAATGAAGATCAGAACCAGCAGCCCAGGGCCCAAGATGTTGAGCATTACTTGTCATCTGTGAGAAACTTATCTGAGATGTCACCTACTATGAAAAAAACTATTCGTCCGTTAAAACACAAGCATTCCCTCATCTGCCCATGTAGAGCAGGGGTGGGCAATTATTTTGGGCAAAGGGCTGCTTCCTGAGTTTTGGCAAGCCATCGAGGGCTGCATGACAGGCAGCCCAGGGTAGATAAACATTAATTTTCTAAATTTTTTAGAGGCCCCATGGGCCGGATAGAATGGCCTGGCGGGCTGCATCTGTCCCCCGGGCTGTATTTTGCCCACCCCTGATGTAGAGAGATTGTTCAGTAGCGGAGGCTTAGTTTTGCAAGACAGAGGAGGAAAATTGTCAGATATAAATTTTGAAATGCAGCTTTTGCTGAAGTTCAGTAAGCATTTTAAAACAGTTTCTGCTATGCAGCTGAACAGCCTTTTTCTCATTTAAACTGATTTTCTCATTTCAGTCTAATACTGATTTTCAGACACTTTCATTATTTCTAATTCAGATGTATTTCATACCCTTTTGTTACCTTTTGAGCAATAGAAGTAACAACAGAGGTTTTCGGTGGAAACAGCTTTCATTTGTCACCTGGCTATGAACATCTCCTTTCTGGTATACCTATATGATGCATTGACTTTTACAAAGTACTTTACATGGAGAGGGTGAGAAGGATCTAACAGTACAGAGGTATTGGTAAATTGTTACGTTGAAAACTGGATGACAAGTATAACATTATTTTCAGGTAAAGCAGGGTGAGTGCCGAGTAAATTAGTGCGCTTCTGTGAGCTTATGGAAAAGAAACCCATTCATTGCATTTGAAAATGAAAAATGATATTAAGAGGCAATTCACCATGTTTCATGCATTTCTCACAAATCAACTTAACTTTTAACTAGTTACTCTCTTTTTAACTTACCTTTTAACTAGTTGAAAGTGGAAATATTTAACTTTTAACTTAACTATTAAGTTAATTTTAAAGGCTGCTAACTTTTAACTTTAACTAGTTACATTTTTCAAAAACTTTTCCCATGACTGCCTGTTGGGAGGATGCTTTTGGCCATGGCTGTATCCTTGGCTTCTCTGAGGCTTCTGCCTTTTGTCAGTCTGGACTTGCTCCAAATGAACTTAATAGACAGACACTTTTCTTCCCCGTGTCATGGTCCATAGGTCTGTTACAATAGGAATTTCAGCCTTCTTGAAGCTTTGTGCAACAGACCTGTCATTTGCTGGCAAGAGGTGAATGTCCTACCTCCTGAGTTTCCCTCATGTATTTTCTGTATCTGCAGTGGCAGGTGACTCAACCAGACCACACAGATGCAGATTTTTTTTGAGGCAACTTCCAGCTTTTGTTAATGTAAACATTTGTAATAATTTGGTTGAGGAATTTTCTCAGGGCCGATTTACATTTTCTCAGCTCCACTTCCACTTCTGAGATGCCTGTGATATTTGCAAAGGGCCTACCCATAACTGATCTAATGAGTTCACTGGATATTGTCTTTATGGAGCTGTGCAAGACTTATAGGCACAGCTTTGTCCACTTCCCAGCTTGGCAAACTGTGAAGAGGCTGTGATGTGATTTAAGTTAGCCATTGCTCACTTTTGGTTGGAGTGTGAAAGCCAGCTCCCATTCTTTCTCGGAGAATCGTGGACGAGCAGAGCAGCGCCCTGCCTGAAGTATTTTAACGCGTTCTTAAAGGAGACTTTAAAGCTTGCCTGTTTTACCATCCTATAAATCTGTGTTTCTCCAGCATTTTTCTCTTGGATTATGGTAGCAATAATGTTGATATTGTACACATTTCTTTCTTCCTATCCCAAATAACGTTTCGCATCTGGGATCTGTATAGAGAGACAGCTGCAATTCACAAAGAGTAATCTAACTCCTGGAGTATTTTGGTTTTGAGGTATATGGGTCTGTGATGCCAATGAAGTTAGTCATAGGCCTGGATTGATACTATTAGGTACAAATCTAATCTTAGAAGAGGCTAGCAGAAGATGACTATAATGGGGGATGGGGAACAGTGATGACAAACAGATGCCCAATTCTTATGGTAGGGGTCAGATTAGTAGGGGTCAGATTAGTATCCTTTTTGCTGTATCTCATATGCTGTTCTTCATATCCCAGGTCCTTCTTTGGACCTCTGCCTTGGTTTCTTGGTGATTCAGTTTCTTTTGCTTGGAGCTGATGTCGTTCTGCCAAGTACAAAAGCCCTTGTGTTTGCAGTAAGTCAATTGGATCTCTCGGTCATTCTCATCAAACCAGCCTTGATGTTTCCTGGTAGAGAATCCAAGTGCCACCAAACAGATGAAGAATGACAAAGCATCTGGAGGTGGTGGATTGCCCCCTGAAATCTTCAAGCAGGAGGGAGAGAAGCTCGCATTACAGCTGCATGCCCTCATCTTAAAGATTTGGAATGATGAGGAAATCCCAGAAGACCCCAGGGATGTTACATCTAACCACGAACCAGCTTCCGGTCAGAGTGGAGCTAAACTACCAAATGGATGATAATCTCAGTTGACTCTGAGTCAAAACCAAGACTACCCTGAGCTCAATCATTGAGCTCCAGTACACTGATGATGATGCTGCAGTCTGTGCTTACTCAGAAGCAGACCTTCAGAGAATCGTTGATGTCTTTACCAAGGCATACAAGAAAATGGGACTGACGCTTGCAGAAGACGAAGGTCCTCCATCAACAGGCTCTTCCTGAGCAGTCCCAAGCTCTGGTAATTCAGATTCACCATGAGACTCTAGAGAAGGTTGAGTATTTCCTGCACCTCAGGAGCCATCTGTCACAGAAGGCTGACATAATAAAGTAACCCACCATTACCTTAAATGTGCAAGTGGAGCCTTTGAACACCTGAGGAAATGAGGGTTCAGAGATTGCAACATCGTATCTGAAACCAAGCTCACAGTTTATCAAGCAAAATATCTCCACTTTATTGCATGGTGCCAAGACATGGACAGCATACAGGGAGACACCTCAAGTTGTTGGAGAAGTACCGTCAATGCTATTTGCAGAAGGTCCTCCAAATCCAGTGGGAAAATAGATTCACTAACATTAATGTCCTCTTGTCACCAAATATAAGCATCAAGGCAATGATCATTCAACATCAACTTGGCTGGGCTGGCCACATTATCCAGATTTCCAGCTCCAGACTCCTGAACTAAGTGTTATTCTCCTAGCTCGGTCAAAGTGTATGCTCACGAGGGCAGAGGAAACTCTTCGTGGACATACTTAAGGCAAACTTGAAAAAAATGCAACATTGACATGAACTCGTGGGAGACTATCACCCAGAACTGCCCCAAATGGAGGAAGAGTCTGTTGCAAGGATCTCAGTACTTTGAAACCTTACAGCAACAACAGTAGGAGACAGAAAAGTGGGAGTGGCAGAAACAATATGTCATGGACTAAAGAATCCAGAGCCCCCCACCCTGCGCAGAAACACATGATTGAGTTGCAGCAGAGTCTGTCGATCCCGGATCGGCCTGATCTGCTGCCTTCAGACCCACAGATAAGACAGTCGTGGAAAACAGTCATCCTTGACCATGAAGGATTAACGAAGATGATGATGATGTAACTGTATATCCATGTTTCTTTGATAACCCAGGCAAAAAATTTTACTGTAGTATTTCTTCAAGAAGAGAGTTTTTCATGACATGGTGATTTCCTTTACATTTAATTTATGGGAATACAGTCATGGGCATGTTGTTGCCAATCCTGAATTATAATGCTGGTAGTAAGGCATTAAGCTATGTTCAGATGAAGACCATATCTCTGATGCTCTTTTAGCAAGAGGTATAAACTTTCTTTATAAATAATGAAGTAGTACATCTTGCTAGATTTTGTATGAAAAAGCACTGTTCTGCTGCAGAAAGTGGAAAAAAGTGCTACTGAAGAAAGTGAAATACAGAAGGAGACAGCCAGACATTTAAAATATTTATAAAGCATTCCTGTCCTTGCTCTGTATTTTGTAGGCAATGTGGAGCAGAACAAAATAAAGTAGAACTTAAGGTCTTCACCAAACATACGTGCTTTCTTAACTTTACTACATACGTGAGTAGTCTTAATGAGTCTGAGGTTGTCAAAGAAGATATGCAGGAGATGCAGGGTTCATGAAGGATTATTTTTTGGGTGGTCAAATGTATGCCAATATCTGGGAAGTCTGAGGAATAAGATGATTTTCTTCCAAGTTCCCTCTAGAAGTTTGTTTCAGTTAGTTCTGTCCTTGACATCTGTTTTCCAGAGTGAATGGTTTCTCTCCAGAATCATGCCAGATCTTTTTTGGAGTCACTGCTTGTCTCTCTCAGGTGAGAACATTTTAAATGCATACAACTCAGAATGATTGGGATATGCGCATTGGCTTGTTTATAGTCTCATACTTGTTATCCTTTTAGTGTTTCTAAATGGTCGTACGACTTTCTTCAAGTGTGACAGGTGGGCGATCATCAGAGTGGTGTTTGACAGCAAACTTCATCGAATGTCGCAAGCAGAATCCACATATTCCTTGTGTTGATTTAATATTACCAAATGTGAGGCAAATGAAGGCGGACCTATAATACATAGAACACATAGTATAGCCATAATAAGTGAATGTGCAATACTTGATAGTTGACTGCATTTGATTTGGTAGCTGTAACTTTATTGTCTCAGAAGAAAATATCTTGATTTCAGATTTATAAAAGTAAAGAGCATCCACTAGCGCTACTCATCCTTTTTAATGCATTTGCCTCCCTCAACTTCATGCTAATCTGATAATTAACAGTAGCGTGAAGTACAGCACTAGCCAGATTCCTCTACAGAATTTCATGAATTATATTAATGGTCTTAAAGCAAACCCCTGTCCCCCCAAACAGAACTAAAAAGGCTTGTTGCATTGACGTAAAAGGTTTTATTTTTAACTTTCCATTAGGTTTCATCTGAAGACCGAAGTACTCTGTGGGCTTTGATTACTTTTTATGGAGGGAATTGCCAGCTGAGTCTCAATAATACGTGTACTCATTTGATTGTGCCTGAGCCAAAGGGGGTAAGAGTTTATTACATGTGCAGTCCTTCCTGTTTGTAGCTGTTATTTGCTTCTGAGTAATCAATTTTCTCCCTTCCTGAATATAAGTGTCTTCGAATTGCTTGCTGATCTTGAGTTGTTGAACCGATCAGAGCAATGCATTGCATTCATTGTTTTGTGTTTATTTTCCCTACAGCCATAAGTTTAATTCAAAAGGTGTCCCATCTTCTGTTTTATTTTTATCTACTTCTGTAGTTTAATAAAGAATTCAGATGTTATGAAATAGCCATTTAATAAAAAAGGTGGTTTATCCTTACAGTTGGATTATTAGTTTTTATATAAGCCAACTGTAAGGATAAACCACCTTTTTATTTATTTATATCTATATCTATCTATATATATAGATAGATATATAGAGCGAGAGAGATTATCTATAGATAGATATCTAGATACACTAGGTTCATTAGTGATTCTTCATAAAAGCATAGGTGGCAGTCCTGAACAAAAATACAATCCTAGAGCAGAAATATTATAAAACCATATCGACTTTATTGTTGTTGCTGGACTGTATTCTGGCTGGGAGGGGCGATTTAGGACCCTGTTACATAGTCTAGTTAGCACATGTTATATTTAGATTGTAGTAAGTGTTAATATGACTTAGAATGTTTTCTGAGTGGTCACATGTTAATGCTTACTACGATATAAATATAGATTGTAGTATCACACCACAGTATAGATTGTAGTCAGCTGCTCTTCAGTCTCAGCTCTGCTATTTCATTGGAGTTTGTTAAAGGCTCTGGTGAGGTATGGGGACTGGGAGCAACACTGACAATGGCACAGGAGCCAATCCCCATACTGCATGGGAGCCCGTTTAAGGGTTTGGTGCAGTGCAGGGGCTAGGAGTGACATCAGCGTGGGAGCTGGTCCCAGTCCCTGCACCACACTTGAGGTCTGAACTGGCTTCTATGTGATATATGGGGCTCGGTGCCAGCGTTGCTCCCAACTCCTGCTCTACACTGGAGCTTTGGCTCCTGTATAGTGGGGAGGTTGGGAGCTTGTCAAATGGCTGTCTGTCAGGCTCCCAGCCTCCTTACTGCACCAGAGCCTTGAACCAGCATGGCATCAGTGCAGTGGTGGGTGGGAGCCTGACAGCCAGCTTTGTCAGGCTCCTACCTGTCCCACCATACAGGCGTCTTCTGATTGCAGGCACCTCCATGGAGTAGTCCAAAGTTGACTCAGAACATGTTAGACAATATGATCTGGAGATGCTCCTTGTGGAAAGGGCCTACCTTTTACTGTGCTGCAGTGACAATTATCACAGGTCTTACCACTTGAATGCTTGGACTCTAGTATTGCAAGTGCAGTTAGCATGTGCTAACTGCAATATGTAACAGGGCCATTGCAGTGCCTTCTTTTATTGCTCTTTCAGGTACTGGAGATGGAGGGAGCGTAATCTAGAAAGAGTGCTAAGTTAAAAAACCTTGAAAGGATTTTCCTCTTGGAAGATGAAGTACTATTTTGGGCCATTATTTAGTACATAAATGCTTTATAAACCATACTGAACACACACACACACACACACACCCCCGACACACCCCCCACGAAAATTCGGAGGATTCTCAAAAGCCCTGACACACCCCCGACCCGCCCCCAGCACACCCCCGCCACACCCCCAGCTTGATGTCATCTATGAACTTTGCTGAGGGTGCAGTCCAGCCCATCTTCTAGATTGTTAATGAACAAAACTGGCCCCAGGACCAACCCCTTGATATCAGCTGCCAGCTAGACATTGAGCCATTGATTACTACCCATTGAGCCTGATAATCTTCCACCTTTCTATCCACCTTACAGTCCATTCATCCACCTCATACTTCCTCAAGTTGCATGCAAGAATGCTGTGGGAGATTACATCAAAAGCCTTGCTAATGTCAAGGGGTGTAGGTTGTAGCCATGTTGGTCTAAGGACATAGGCAGACAAGGTTCTTTGGGTGAATCTGATATCTTTTATTAGACCTTGTTAAAGTCAAGGTATATAACATCCACTGCTTTCCCTGCATGCACAGAGCTAGTTATCTCATTATAGAAAGCAATCAGGATGGTCAGGCATGTCTTGCCTTTGGTGAATCCATGCTGACCATTCCTAATGACTTTTTTCTCCTACAAGTGCTGAGAAATGTATTCTTTGAGGACATGCTTCATGATTTTTCCAGGGACTGAGGTGAGGCTGACTGGTCTATAGTTCCCTGGATCCTCCTTCTTCCCTTTCTCTGGCTGGGAGGGAGTTTGCAGCCTGCCTGCTCCTGACCAGAGTGCTTGGCTGGCTGCAAACCCCACCTCCCAGCCTGGGTGCCCAGCTGGGGAGTGCCCAAGCTGGCTGGAGGCTGAGGGAGCAGGGAGGTTTGCAGCTAGCTAGGAGAGGTGGGGGTTTCCAGCCAGCCGAGCACTTCGGCTGGGAGGGGGGAGGCTGCAAACCCCCTCCTGGCTGGAGTGCCTGGCTGACTGCAAACCTCCCTGCTCCCTCAGCCCCTAGGCAGCTTCCCCCCAGCCCTGCCCCACAACCCCCAAGTCTCACTTACCTCCAGCAAAAACAGTGAGCCTGAAGCAGCCTCCCATAATTGCAAGTGTTGGGCCCTGCCCTTCCCCCTCCCTTCCCCTCCTGGTAGGGTTGAGAGTTTCCCTGCCATTTTGCAAACAGCTTTTGTAGGCTGGAACTCAGCCAGCCTGCAGAGCTCTTTGAAAAAGGGGAAAATCCATGGTTTTCTCTGTTTTTCTGTGGGAAATGGGAAACCAGGATCTCTGCTGATCACTATTAGTTTTCAAAGATAGTGTCCAGCAGCTCTGCAATTCCATCAGCCAACTCCCTCAGCACCTTCAGATGCATTGCATCCAGCCCTATGGACTTGTATACATCCAGCTT